CTATTTATAACTCTAACCTAGGTAGCCTAGAATGCTTTGAATTTGTTCAACAAAAAAATTGCTAATGTATTTCAAAATCGGTTAATTTACTAGATTTAAATTAAAAAAGTTTGCCTGGTCATGTATATATTTCTAATTAATTATCAAACCAACGCGGACAAAGTCAAGAGCAAAGCTTTGTAAATATATCAAAATTAATGTAATTTTTATATTTTAATTATTACTGAACTGTTAAAAACATTTGTACATCTTGTCAATGTCATTAATAGAAAGAGTAAATGTCACTTCAATAAACGAAAAAAGCGTTTAAAAATCCCAATTTTTTTTGCGAATTAATATGTAAACTTCAGTTTATATACTTTAATTATATAATAAATAGATTATTATAAAATAATACTTTATACTCTTGTTTTTTATACACAATACAATAAATATTAAGTAGTTTAAATCATTGTTGTGGGCTTAAAATTAAAAAAAAATCCTACTTATATCAAATTGATAAATGGCGATGTCATTGTCATTTTCACATAAAAAATACATTTAAAATATAATTTTTTATCTTCTATATATCTTATCTTCAGTTTCGATAAATAATTTTTTTTCGTAATTTATGAATGAAATTACTTTCGTATATAAAATATTACGACGATAAATGCGTCTGTAATAATAGTTATGAATGGAAGACGCTTAAACTGACAGTTTGTTGTAATTTATAAACGTGTATTAAGGATTGATATAAACAGTAAAAAAAGATCTTGACATAGTTTTGAGAGTAACTAAGTTGGAAACTAACATTTATATGATAGACTAGGTTTTGCCCGCGACTTCGTACGCGTTAGTTTGGTCAAGAGTAATATGTATGTATAGCTGACCAGGCGAACTCTATTCCGTCTAAGAGGCCATAAATAATCAGGTTTTTCCTGTTTCAATAAAACAGAATGATTTACATATTAGTTAGTTGTCAAATCTAATGTCAAAAAAAACGTTTGTATGGGAAATAGAAAAGGACTGTTTTTAGGGTTTTCCCGGCAATTATTCCAATTTTTCTCACCTTTTAAACCTTCCCTGGACTTCCAGGAGTATTTCAAGACTAAAATTAGCCCAATCGGTTCAGCCGTTCTCGAGTTTTAGCGAGACTAAGGAACAGCAATCCATTTTTATATATATAGAAGATTACTTACTTAATGACAACTGAGATTTTTGCAAGCATATGTTTAAAATGAAATTATGTTTCTTGTATATATGTATGCGTGCATGCGTGCGTACGTGGGTGTATGTGCGTGCGTGCGTGTGTGTGCGTGTAAACGAATCGAAAAGTCGGTATTATGTTAAAAAATATAATTACGTATTTATTCGAAAAACACTGTTTTATGATAATTTACTGATTCGGAATATTCTTTGGAATGGGAGAGCTAGAACCAATAGCGTATTTTCATTTCACATACATGTTGCATCATAAAATTTTCTATTTTCCTGTTTAAATATTTTCCAATATACATAATATATATGTTTGATTAAAAACAATAAACAATATATATAATAAACAATCAACATGTTATTGGTTGATAAAATAACGTCAGCTGTTTAGTTCGAGGTTCTTAACCTTGCTAGATATCGGGAGAATAATTTTAAATTTTAATCACCATTTTTACGAGATCTTATTGAAATTTTGTTTATTTTTATAAAAGAATTATGTATAATAGATTATTTTAATTACAGTGGTACATTTTAAGTCAGTGGTGGCCTATTAGTTAAAAGGCCCGCCTCTCATGTATGAGGGTGCAGGTTCGATCCTAGCAAGTACCAATGTGATTTTTCCGAGTCATATGTACTTTAAGAGTATTTAGACGTCACTGACTAATGCATTCCCAAAGAGGGTTGATGTCAGGCAGGCGGCCGCTCGTAAAAACAATTAGCTAAAAATATTCACAACATGTAAGGCAGACCCTGACTATATCTGGGAAATTGCCAGGTAGTAGATTAGTTTAATGACAAAACTTCAATAATATGACTAATATCGTCACTACACACGTATCGTTAACAGTATGTCATTAATATCTTCAAACATTATAGTATTAACGTGGATTATTGAATGAAACAGGAGACGATACGTATTTTATATATAATATAATTCAGTTTTGATAATATAAATAGAATTTTTAAAAAGAGAAATATTTGTAAAAAAGTATTCAAATTACTTTTACTTCTGATTATAATTTTCTTTATATGTATCTTCTTCTTCTTCTACCTGGCAATTTCCCAGCTATAGCCAGGGTCTGCCTTATATAATGAGAATAGTTTTTGGCTATTTGTTTTTACGACCGGCCGCCAGCCTGACATCAACCCTCTTTTGGGAATCAACATTAATCAGTGATGTCTAAATACTCTTTATATGTATATATACATATATTTATTTCCTGTTAAAATTCACTTATCTTGTTTATAATTTTAATTATTAGTAGAAGCAAGAACAAAAACCTATCTTTTTATTATGTAGGATATATAAAAAATCGTTCTTACAACACAATTTCTACTTTTTGTAAAAATTCACTTGTTTTTTTATAATTTCAATTAAAATTAGAAGATGAAACTAATATTTTCGGATTAATTACGCGATTTTTTTTTTGGATTATAAACTACATACTCCTGACGTTTCGGTTACTTTACAGCAACCGTGATCACGGGCAGAGGAGATGTAAAGTTATAAGTAAAAAATAATCGTTTTATTATATAGTATATACTCGTAATATGAAAAATACATTTATTTTGCTTATAACTAGAAGTACGAATAGAATTGTATCAATTTTTTGTCCTCATGTTCAAGTGATTTCAATTTAGTTGTTAAATACGATCAATAGCTGACGAAATGTTTTTAATTTCACTCAACTGAACTTTGTTATCATTGAACTGTGAGTGTGTAAATGTAAACATGCTCATCATCTATCATTTCATTATATTTCATCATCATTTGTCACAGGTGAACCTATCATCAGTTTTTACAATAAAAATATGTAATAATTTTGGATGGTTCGTATGTGTAAAAGAAACATTCTAAACTGGAATTTAAGTCATCGATTGTCAAACTTCTGTTAAAATCTTTATATTTTTTATGAAGTTTTTGTTTCTTTATCTATGTTTTTATTTAGTACATTCTTCTTCTTCTACCTAGCAATTTCCCAGACATAGCCAGGGTCTGCTTTATATGTTGTGAATAGATTTAGCTAATTGTTTTATTCGACCGGCAGCCTGCCTGACAGCCCTCTTTGGGAATGCATTAATCAGTGATGTCAAAATACTCTTAGAAAGTACATATGACTTCGAAAAATCACATTGGTACTTGCCAGGATTGAACCAACGCCCTCGTGCATGAGAGGCGGGCCTTTTAACCACTAGGCCACCACTGACAACAGTACATTATGGCTCATATATTATATACATTACAGCCACAATAACACTTTATATAGTTTTTTTCGTTCCCTCCAACTCTATAGTAATTTTCTTTCATGTTTATTTGAAGAAGAGATAATTATTGAACCTTTCCTATAGTTTACATGATATTTTAGTCGACGATTCAATCTTTCGATCTCCTTCCCACGATCTTTTTCCCACGAATATCATTACATAATCACAAGAATTTAAGACTAATTACTGGAAAAGCAAATTTTGTTATTCAAATATTTGAATTTCATTAATACTAAATATAGCAAAGAATATTATCAGGACTTATTAGTATGTATATATGATATGTTACATATTTACGAATCCTCTTCTTCCTGGCAATTTCCCAACTTAAGCCAGGGTCTGCCTTATTACACGTAGTGGTTACATGTAGTTGTATGTTTAGATGAAACTATATTTTTCAGATACTATGCATTTTTTATTATTTTAAACTACATACTCCCGACATTTTGTTGCCTTTATAGCAACCGTTATCACGGGCAGATGAGATGAATCTCCGAAAATCTTGCCTTAGTTTAACTTATTCTGAGATGAGACTTCAGTATCAAACTAATAAAGAACTTCATTTAAATGTGTAAAAAGTATAATCTTAGATAATAGATAACATTCCTTGCATGTTTGTTTTATAAATATAATAATAACAATTAAGTAATATATGCATTTTTATATAAAACAACTTAAACTGTGACATATGTTATATTTTTTTATAAAGTGGTTTTAAATTTTTGCACTTTTATCGAAGATTAGTCTACAAATAACACAATACAAGTAGAATTATTCTTCCCTTGAATTGAATGAATGTAATATTTTTGGCGAAATTAATTATGGAAAATTACCTAAGATATTGAAAAAAATATTCATTGAAATATAAACAGAATTAATAAAAGATAATTATTATCTAACGGCAGCTTTACATTATATTTGTTTGTGGTCAAGTTAAATGATACTATCAGTGAGAAAAACAAATGATTCACATATATATAAGAAAGTCATGTTTGATACACTATTTATGACTCAAGAACGACTGTACGGATATGGTTGAACATTGATGGAGGGATAGATTAGAACCAGGAGACGGACATAGGATATTTAATACAGTTCGATCGAAAAACAAAACTTAATGAATTCCAATATCTTGTTATTTATGGCTTCTAGTTCGGTTAGTTATACATATATTACTGATTCTGCGATTAACGCGGACGAAGTCACGAGCAAAAACTAATATGATATATTTTCTTATTACATATATATAATATTAATCTTAAAGTATATTATTTTATTCTCATTTCACTACCAATATATCAAATTTTTTAATAAAAGTCTTCGTAGAATCTGTCCCACATTTTAATCACGTAAAAGACCTTCAAAGATTACAACTATTAAAATAATAGGCGTAGTTTGGTAAAAAGAAATATAAAATGTTTTAATAAACTCAGTATTACTTATGTATTACAATGTAAGGAAAATCTGTGATTTTAAATTTTAAATTATTTAAATGTATTAATTACTTAAATATAAGTATTTTTTTTTTGTTTCAGAACATGGAAATAGAGAGCGCTAACTGTAAACATCGTGTGTCAGAGTGCACGGATTTTAACCAACTTAATATAGAAAGACCATTAAAAATAGTACAGTAAGTAGAAGAAATTCTTTAAAAAAAATATTCCTAAGATATTACTCATCCCTACTAATATTATAAATGCAAAAGTAACTCTGTCTCTCTGTCTGTTACGCTTTCACGCCTAAACCACTGAACTGATTTTAATGAAATTTGGTACGGACATAGAATTGACCTTGAGAAAGAACATAGGATAGTTTTTATCTCAGAATTTTGAAAGGTTCTTTTGGAAAAGCGATATAACCGAATTCCACGCGGGCGAAGCTGCGGGCGGAAAGCTAGTGTAAAATATATAAACAATAAATTAAGAAAGTGTAATTTGATATGAACTTATTGATTTGAAAACACGTAATTACTATTGAGATTGTTTACTAAAATTATCTTGTTTCGTTGGACCGTTATTTAGAAAAACAATCACGGCTTATATCCTATTGTTTTATATCTTTTTGTTATTTTTTTTATATATATATTTGTAGGGATATAGATGGCTTGGAGACTCTCGTGTCTGAACTTCACAAAGTATTTTCAAAGAGTTACGTCAATATACAGGAGGTCCAGAAGCTGATGTCGTCTTACAAATCAGATCCAAAACACTGGAAGAAGTATGCAAAATTTGATCGATTCCGGTAAGACTTTAATGATAAATTAATTTCTACATTTAAGGATAAATTCGTTCCTTATAATAAACCTACCTCGTCATTCTTGTGTATTAACCAATTTAATTTGTCATTTTAATAACGATAAACGTATGTTAACTTGCAACAAAGAAATATGTTTTTTTATTAATGTTTTTGTAATGCTAGTTAATAAAACTTTGATACGAAAGCTCTGTTTAAAATATTAAAGAAATTATTTGAGTGGTTTCGCTATCTGAATATATTCTTTTTATTTATAACACTACATTAAAGTTTAAAAAAACTTCGATTTAATAATATTTTTATATATAGTTATACAATTTAAGTTAAATTTTGGCTTCAACCACTTGGATAGTTTGTAACAAATATTCAATAGTAATGATTATAGTTTGAAAAAAACGTCTTAAGAAAAGTTTTTTGGCTGAATCAATAAATTTAAAGCTCTGCTTAAGTCTATTTGGTTTTGTAACTTTTTTGAATTATATGTTTGTATTGGATTTTAAATCATTAACAAAAAGACGATAAGTTAGACCCATGTAAACATTTTAATATCGCATCCAGAAGCTTCATTATGAAATACATATAACTATTGATATGATTGAGACGAAACGACTCATCATTCCATGTATTCACGGTGCGTGTGTCGGGTCCATCGTTGTAGTGAGAGGAGCTTCAACAGTGACTGGGACTTGTGACCCAGGTGTAGGTTTAATATATATAGAGAGACGAAACCTCTCATCATTCCATATATTCACCGTGTGGGTGTCAGGTCCATCGTTGTAGTGAGAGGAGCTTCAACAGTGAATGGGACTTGTGGCCCAGGAGTAGGTTTAAGGGACCCTATTTAACGCGTTAAACGCTCACCTCAACCGTAAAAGCTCTATCTATCTATCGTACAACTATTGAATATTTTGCTGTATATTATCTTTATAATTCTAAATAGGTTTTACCCAAAATTTAAACAATATTCAATGACAAATATTATTGCGTGTAAAAAATACAATTTACACAGTGATAGCACTTCTATTATCATAGGTTATCAATTATTGTATATACTATCAGATGTCTGGAGGGTAATTTATTATATATCTTTCTAATAATTTTTATCAATTAAAAATATTTACGACAAAACATATAATTTATGTTTTAATACACCTATAATAGAGTTATTTTGGAAGGATTATATATAATATGTATACAAGAAAGTCGTGTTAGTTACACTATTTATGACTCAAGAACGGCTGTAGGGATATGGTTGAACATTAGAGGAGAGATAGATTAGAACCAGGAGACGGACATAGGATATTTAATTCAGTTCGATCGAAACAAAAACAAAGTTAATAAATTCCAATATCTGGTTATTTATGTCCTCTAAGACGGAATAGAGTTCGTCCGGTCAGCTATACATATATCACTAATTCCGAAATTAACGCAGACGTAGTCGCGGGCAAAAACTAATATAATTTTCAGAACCAATACATATATACATATTTTTTCCTTTATCTTTACTTGCGTTATAAACATTTCACGAAAAGCAAACAAGTGACGTCAGGCTTGGACAACGTAAATATTGTCAACAATAATAACCTCGTTGTTTATCAGTTAAATATTTCTTCAAAACTTAACTATAGTTTAAGATAACGTTCTCAATAATTGATAATATTATAAAATCTCATTAAAATATCTGTGAATACAACAAAAGTTTAATAAATTTAATTATTAAGTTCGTAAAATTGATTTAAATTTAAAATTAAACTAATATTTTGGGGATATACTACGCTACTTTATTAAAACGCTTTTATCATCTTGGGCTGTATGTATGTAACGAAATCTTTGAGCACGATTTTCACCGGTTTCTAAACATCTGATTAACTTGAAACTTTACATATGTCTCAAGGACCAATGACAATACAATAATTCGTTAACAACAGTGGCGGGGCAAGACCTAAATTTGATGTGGGCAAGACAGATTTCGCGAGGCCCTATTCTATGGAAACCTGAAGCTCTTACTACCAGCTAGTTTTAAAAACTTAAACGTCGATGTTTTTCTTTACACTTAAAGCTTTGGATTCCTTCAAAAGATTTTATAAAGCCTATTTTATAGACAAGTAATTACTGCGTTACCATCACCATAATATCACCAATTAAATATTTGTTACTTTTTATGTAAAATAGCCGAGTACAGGTACTGGTGTATTACAAATCACAAAGAAAACAAAAACAATTAAAAAACGTCACTGTTCGGGGGCAATCAATATATTTAAACACTATCTATTTATTCGCTAAATATTATTAAAACATTGAACACACTATTCTTATCAAAATAGGTTTAATTAATTCTGATTCCCAAAGAGAGTTGATGTCAAGCAGACGACCGGTCGTAAAAGCGAATAGCCAAAACTAATCACAACATGTAAGGCAGACCCTGGCTATAGCTGGGAAATTCCTAGGAACAAGAAGAAGATTTTTTTTTCTAATTCTCTAAAATTATTGAGGCGCGAGGCCCCTTGTACCGCGAGGCCGTAGGCGGTGGCCCACGTCGCCCACGCCTTACGCCGCCACTGGTTAACAATTTCCCATTATCCTTGTTAGGGCCGCCAGGATTAATATATTCTTTTCATATCCTCTATGAGAGTGAAAGGGACAGCTAGTGTGCGATCTGCGTATGTCCACAAAAAACTAATTGATAAATCGTACTAAAAAATATAAAATAAATATTAGTTACAAGCGTGTCTTTTAAACTAATATTTATTTTTGATATAAACTACATACTCCCGACTTTTCGGTTACTTGACAGCAACCGTGATCACGGGCAGACGAGATGTGAGTGTCTGTCAGTTGGTCTGGTCATTTTATCATCCATCTTGATTTAAAATAGTTGATATTTAAAATTGAATATTTAATGATAGGTTAAAAGATAAACGCTGGCAGTATGTACTTTAAAATAATAAAAAACGCGTACATAGTACATCCGAAAATATTCGTTTTATTTAAATGAATACTTGCGAAATTCTTACATATCATAATATGAGGAAAATTTTAAAAGAAACATTTATAGATTGAGAGAATTTGTATACACTACTAGAAATCACTTATTTGATAAGTAATTAGTAAGTAACGTGTAAGTAAAACTGAAAATATCCATGATTATTTATTTGTCACATTTAAAATTATAAGCGGTATGAATTAAATTAAATATATTTACGTTATAAAACCAAAAATTAGGGATCCCTCGAACCTACACCTGGGTCGCAAGTCCCAGGCACTGTTGAATCTCCTCTCCCTATAATGATGGACCCGGCACCCGCACCGTGAATACATGGAATGATGAGAGGTTTCGTCTCTCTTAGAAATGTAATTCAAATTCAAAAGACTTATTTTATTAAATATTAAGTATTCTTTAGGTCTAGTACTCAAGTGTCATGTTTAAATTTTGTTTTCAATACAAAAACATGTCTGATTTCAGGTATACGAGAAATTTGGTTGACGCTGGCAATGGAGCCTTCAATATAATGATTCTCTGCTGGGGTCCAGGTCATGCCTCTGCTATACATGATCACGCTGATTCTCATTGCTTTATGAAGCTCCTCAGTGGAAGCCTGGAAGAAGTTAGGTAGGAAAATGATTATTTTTTTAAACCCAAAGGCAAACAAGCATTTAGACCCAGTTTCACCAATCACGGTTAAATAAGTAACATCGTGTTAATGCGTTTGATGCTCTGTTAGACGTATCGAGCGTCCCACCACGCACAAATGTCCGTTTAAATGTCTTAACCAGCCACTAATACATATTAATTCCTGTTATGGAGCTCCGTCTAATGGCTAACAGAATGTTAATGGCTTGTCAAAACTCAATTGTCCAATCACAGCCCTGATTTCTTGTAACCATAGTAACGTCATCTGTTTTGTCAGTTTCGACTATTTCCTTGTCATTATTAATAAAGTGAATTAAATTTTCATTTTGTATAATGATTTTGCCTCCATCTTTTCTATGACATTGCAAATTAAGTTTTATTTTTATTTCTTATAATTTGAACACAATTTATGTCTATATTTATAACACAAGTTATTGACAACACGATTTTGACAAGTTACACCTAGTAAATTGAAAAGAAAGCTTTTTGAGTGCCAAATGTATGCAACCAACGATATATAAAATTTGGTCGCATTAGCTTACAAGTGACGTATCGAGGGATATATACGATCAAAGTATAAAGTAGTGCATCGTTACAAACGTGCCGTGTTAAACGCTATAGTTTCCACTTGGTCGTTATATAACAAGAACGAATAATTTGGTAGCCGGTCATTTGATATGACGTTTAATAATGCGTTGTTAATTGTCATCGTGGGACGTAAATATTTTAATAAACATTTATAATGTTGAAGGTTGGTTAGTAAATGCTGTGATTAGACTAAACAAACATTGATTGGTGAAACTGGGTCTTAGTATACTTGATGGAGCTAGTCTATGTCGTATAGACATCTGCAAAATAAGTGATGTTGATTGTGGGAGAGAGAGAGAGAGAGAGAGAGAAAAGAGTGAGAAAGAGAAAGGGCTACAATTCTAAGGGTTTCCAAGAACGACTGACAGTTTTTTATTTATATTGAATGTATATTGAGAAGAATATAAATGTATTGTTATCATGAAAAATGATTTATAAATGTATCAAGTTATTTACATTTAATATTATCATGATTTCACAAACATGAAAATCTCTTTATGTGTATGTGTGACTAAATGCCAAACATAATAACAATTCTATTTTATACTTTTGAAGTTAAAATAATCAAATAATTATGATCAAGTATCGATCATTCAGTTAGATTTCTAAAATAAAATATATAAACATTTTAAAGCTAACTTTTTAAAATTTTAAACATAAATATAATTAACTTTAATAAACTCTCTTCAGATACGACTGGCCGAACACCGTTGAACCGGAGGTATTAAAGAAATTAAAGAAACCAACAAGGAGATGCTGTTCCGAGAGCGAAGATAATGTTGTAAATAAAATGACAAACTTAGATATAACCAGTGATTGTGATAATTGCGGCCAAAAAGGGAAAATTGAGAATGAGAAGTGTACAGACTATGAAGAAACGGGATATAACGCTCAGGAGATGGAAGAGATTGGACGAACACGTCTGGATGTAGATGACGTTTGTTATATTAATGGTGAGTTGAAAATATTACTCAAAATACTTCCCTAAATACAATACAATACACTGTCTCCCGTACCCCACTAGAGGGGGTGGCATGCGCTCGGCAGTCTTACGACTAGCGCAGAGCAGAACGGGGACGTGCGCCTGTTCTTTAGGCGGGGTAGTAGTGAGACAGTGACTAGTTATTATTACATAGAGGACCAGGGAGTCCAACAGTCAGCATATAAAATTCACTACATCTACTATTTTGGAAATAGTTGGCGGTAAATGATAAATAACAAGACCAACTGACAGACATTTACATCTCGTCTACGCGTGATCACGGTTGATGAAAAGTAAACGAAACGTTGGGTGTATGTAGTTAAAATATAAAATACGCGTAATCCGTAAATATTAGTTTCATTTAAATGAATACTCGAAAAAGTCTTAGATCTCATTAGTTTTATAACCATAGTGACTTTGTAATTATTGCATCAGAGCATTTATTACGCGATAATTTTCACCTAACTGTAGGTGCGATGAAAATCCAACGTTTACATTTTATATTGTAACACACAAATAGATATAAATTTTATAAACAAACAACAAAATAAAAACATGTCTATTACACGTGATAATTGAAAAGTATTTTGCGGAATATTTAGCACTATAGTTTATGGATGTATTGGCTTACGTAATATGACATTGAACTTGTCCAGAACAAATTAATCATTGTGTCTACATCCAAATCATGATGGAAGTTTACGTGTGCTAATGTCATAATTAATAGTAGATATATAGAATAGAATACAATAGAATAGTACATACATATATACATATATTTATATGTATATATTATTTTTATGACATAATACTGATTTACAATATGTATAAATGTCCTTATTTGTTTTTTTTTTTACTTTTTCATATATGTATTATCTCATTTCATTTTTCATATATCATATTTCACGTAGCTTCCATATACTTTGCACACATTTACTAACAAGTAAAATAGATTATACTGACGGCGTTGACAATTGAGTATTGAGGGTGTTAATATGTTACTTATAAGCCTTATACTTATTTTAACATATGTTTTCGGAAGAAATAAGCAGATCTCGTTTTAGTGATCACTGTTATAGCAATTTAACTGAAACTTTGGAATTATTTAGTTGGTGAAAATGATAAAATACGCTTAGTAATCCGAAAATATTAGTTTCATTTAAAAGAATACTTACGAGTCTTAGATCTTATAATGTATTTTTTTAAGTTATTTCTTTTAATGAGAGTGATTAATTTTTGTTTATCCAGATGCCCTTGGTCTCCACCGAATGGAAAATCCATCTCATGTAGATGGGGCGGTATCACTGCATCTCTACTGCCCACCATTCGATAGTTGTAGGGTATTCGATTCCCGGACAGGCAAACCTACAGAGGTCAAAGTCACCTTTTGGTCCATGTATGGGAAAAAAATGAAAAGGGTAAGTAGCAAAAACCTCAATTAATACTTTAAATGATTAAAATAATGATCGTTTTTTTATAATAATATTGAAACTTAGATTAAAAAAAAGGAATGTTTTTGATAGTCGGTATTTTCAATCTAATTTTCAACAAAATGTATCTTTTTTCTAGGTAATCGAGTCAGATCCGGCAGATCAAGAATAAGAATGGAAGATATTATACATATTGTTTAAAGAAATATTTATTTTCATTATAAAATTCAATGGGTCCAAAATAATTGTTTAATTATGTTATATTTAAAATGTCTAGGAACACACGCTTAGCTGCAAAAAATGACTGCCTTCTCCATCCTTTTATGAACGACAATAAAAGTTACTTGGTGTAATATTATTAAGTAACCTTTTTTGACATTTTATAATTACTTCAATAATTAAATATTTAATATTGGGTTTATGCAATATTATATTTAATATCTAAATTGTATTACACAAGTCAAAGGTAAATTAGGTTAAAATTTAATACAATTTTACACAATTGTAAATTTATTTAAGACTACAATTTTTAAATGTATATTTTTATTTAGTAAAAACTATATAATAGAATTATAGTAATACAAAATCTTCTTTACGAAGATTATTACTGAATATTTCTGTTTTGAAATTTATTTATATTATATCAATAAAGATATTTTTATAAAATGGTCGTATTAATTAATTCTCCTGTATCCGTTGTGACTTTCTGCTCGTGTGGTTTGTTAAAAGTTGTAGAGAGTCAAGCCTAGATTCTGTTTCAAGGGAGTATGTTTTATTTTGTTGAGAGCCGGATTAGGGCTAGGCTGATATATATTAGATAATAAAATATAATTTTTATTAAAAACGAAGATGGAACCAATTTGGTTGTTAGTTTTGTTGCTATAAAGTACTTTGTTCACTTATTTACAATATTTTGAATTTAATCAAAAACTAAACTGTTATTGAATTAAAATTGCCTACAATTAAATAAGTTCGACATAACTTTTTAACTTGGTTTTGAATCTGTTGTTCAAATTAAACCAGTGGATGCTGGGCATTCCATCTATGTTCATGTGAAAATATTCTGTCTAATAAATTAGGAAAAAATAAAAATTGTTTCTCCCTCTGGATTCCTATGAACTGCTCTTTCTAAACTGCATAGAAACCAGACTACTGTTTAGGTCAGCGATCAAGTTTTTTTAATTTTACCTATACTGACTAATATTATTGCTCTTAAGACTACATTTCAAAGGTAGTTTATAACAGTTATATAAATAAGACTAGGTTTTGCCCGTGACTTTGTCCACGTGGACTACAGAAATGTTCTCCGCCACTACGGTCACGGAACCCGAACATCATGGTTCCAGCCGTGTAGTTTCGAGATCGGGATTGGGATAAAGGTAGCCTATGTCCTTCTCCAGTATTCCATCTATCTCTCTATCAAAATTCATCAAAATGGTTTCAACTGATAGTATAGTAATAAAATAATATAGTTAACACTGCTCTAGTTCTGAATTAAATTTATTTTTTCCAGTATAATTTGCATTAGAAAAGTCAAAAATGTTATAAAAACAAACAAAATAAACAAAATATGGCAATTAGTTATTGTTGACATTTGATTCGTTGTACTTAGATAAAACAATCATTTCTTCAACTTTATTCCAAGGAAGGAAAAGTTTCAAGCCATCTTGTAGTGCAGTAGACTGCACGAATTCCCTTCGACATTTGACGTTGCATTTATAATCACACGTCTGAGTTTTCGGGTTGAACTGTAAACCCTCAGAACAAACACCAAGAACCTTAGTTTTTCCCTCACAACGCCAGAACTTGTCACAGTCCGTTTCATGTGGCCAATGGGGAACATGACATTCTTTTTGGCATCTATCATCCTCAGTACTACCTCCGCCACCTCCGCCTCCGCCTCCGCCTCCGCCACCTCCGCCTCCGCCTCCACCACCTCCACCTCCACCTCCACCTCCACCTCCACCTCCGCCTCCTCCTCCACCTCCTCCTCCACCTCCTCCTCCACCACCTCCGCCTCCTCCTCCACCACCTCCGCCTCCTCCTCCACCTCCGCCTCCTCCTCCACCTTCTCCGCCACCTCCACCTTCTCCGCCACCACCGCCACCACCTCCACCACCTTCTCCGCCACCTCCACCTTCTCCGCCACCTCCACCTTCTCCGCCACCTCCACCTTCTCCGCCACCACCTCCACCACCTCCTCCACCACCTCCTCCACCTTCTCCGCCACCTCCACCTTCTCCGCCACCACCTCCTCCACCACCTCCACCACCTTCTCCGCCACCTCCACCTTCTCCGCCACCTCCACCTCCTCCGCCTCCACCACCTTCGCCACCTCCTCCTCCTCCACCTCCGCCTCCTTCTCCGCCTCCACCACCTCCGCCTCCTCCTCCGCCTCCACCTCCTCCTCCACCTCCGCCTCCTCCTCCGCCTCCGCCTCCGCCTCCGCCACCTCCATTATCAGAGCTACAACCAGCGCTACGAGGCCAATCACAAACCTGAAATATAAATAAGTATATTACATTTTGTTAAGTTGATGCTATTTCTAAACGTGACTTAAATTTATTTAAATATTTTACTTAAGTTTATCAATATTTTAAATCGTAGAAAAAAATATTTAAATATAATTTTCCAACATCATTACACTGAACGATGACTGAACAATTACCTGCGATTTTGGATTAAAATGTAATCCTGCAGGGCATGATTTTTCTACTCTGTTTCCAAAGGCGCAGTGATAAAATTTGGTGCAGTCAGATTCATGAGGAAGGTGCCAATTAATGTGAAAGTCTGATGGGCAGCCGTTCGGTAACTTGTCAAAGTCTCCTCCGCCACCTCCGCCTCCTCCTCCGCCTCCACCACCTTCGCCACCTCCTCCTCCTCCACCTCCGCCTCCTTCTCCGCCTCCACCACCTCCGCCTCCTCCTCCGCCTCCACCTCCTCCTCCACCTCCGCCTCCTCCTCCGCCTCCGCCTCCGCCTCCGCCACCTCCATTATCAGAGCTACAACCAGCGCTACGAGGCCAATCACAAACCTGAAATATAAATAAGTATATTACATTTTGTTAAGTTGATGCTATTTCTAAACGTGACTTAAATTTATTTAAATACTAGTAAACCCGGCGAACTCCGTTTCGCCACCAGAAGGCTTTTATATAACATTTCGTTTGGTGATTAAAAAATAGAGAATTTTTTTTTGTTTTAAATTTGAAAAGCAAAATTTTAATTTCATTTCACTACAGTAATAAATTCATTTCGATTACAACAATGAAATGTGTGTGTGTAAATGAAAGTGAATCCAAAGTAGATACCGAATCGAAGCGTTATACGTGTCCGCAAATTATCCGTTTCATGGAAGTGGTCCTTTGTAAACCACATTTTTTATTTTTTGGTCTAACTTTAACACAAATAAAGCGGATGGTTTCCATACTCGTGAACACGCAAAATGTGAAAAACAATGATTTTCTAAAATCCCGCAAATACTAAATGGTTTTAATAGTTCAAACTACAAACACAATACCGGTTTGCCACATGAAATTAACTGAGCAGAGAACAATGAGTAGCTGTCAAAAAATGTATCATGCAACGGCCATCTACTTAAAATATTGATTTGTAGTACATGTTTTACAACGAATACAAAACCGTGGAAATTGCTTCGTTCGTTCTGAAGTTATAGCGTCAGGATGGAAAACCGGACTTATTTTTATATAGTAGATCTCTTACAAATATCTAATTGTCATCATTACGTCATTACATATCTGTCATTATACGTCAATTGCATAGCTGTCAAGTGTGTTTCGTTATTCCACGTCTTAAGTGACTAACGTTTCATGTCATGTCACACGGGAATGCTATCAAACGGGATAAAAAGTATCCTATTCCAATTTCCTGACTCTAAACTACCTCCCTGCCAATTTTCAGCTAAATCGGTTCAGCTGTTCTTGAGTTATAAGTGGAGTAACTAACACGACTTTCTTTTATATACATATATAGATTTAACTAAAGTTTATCAATATTTTTAATCGTAGAAAAATTATTTAAATATAATTTTCCAACATCATTACACTGAACGAAGACTGAACAATTACCTGCGATTTTGGATTAAAATGTAATCCTGCAGGGCATGATTTTTCTACTCTGTTTCCAAAGGCGCAGTGATAGAATTTGGTACAGTCAGATTCATGAGGAAGGTGCCAATTAATATGAAAGTCTGATGGGCAGCCATTCGGTAACTTGTCAAAGTCTCCACCACCTCCGCCACCTCCACCTCCGCCGCCTCCGCCACCTCCACCTTCTCCAGCACCACCTCCGTTGCCTCCACCACCCCCGTTGCCGCCACCACCTCCGTTGCCTCCACCACCTCCGTTGCCTCCACCACCTCCGTTGCCTCCACCACCTCCGTTGCCTCCACCACCTCCGTTGTCTCCACCACCTCCGTTGCCTCCACCACCTCCGTTGCCTCCACCACCTCCGTTGCCTCCACCACCTCCGTTGCCTCCACCACCTCCGTTGCCTCCATCATCTCCGTTGCCTCCACCACCTCCGTTGCCTCCACCACCTCCGTTGCCTCCACCACTTCCGTTGCCTCCACCACCTCCGTTGCCTCCACCATCTCCGTTGCCTCCACCACCTCCGTTGCCTCCGCCACCTCCATTGCCTCCCCCTCCTTCGTTTCCGCCGCCGCCTCCGTTGCCTCCACCTCCTCCTCCTCCGCCACCTCCGCCTCCTCCACCTCCTCCTCCGCCACCTCCGCCACCTCCGCCACCTCCGTTGCCTCCACCATCTCCGTTGCCTCCACCACCTCCGTTGCCTCCGCCACCTCCATTGCCTCCCCCTCCTTCGTTTCCGCCGCCGCCTCCGTTGCCTCCACCTCCTCCTCCTCCGCCACCTCCGCCTCCTCCACCTCCTCCTCCGCCACCTCCGCCACCTCCGCCACCTCCGCCACCTCCGCCTCCTCCTCCGCCACCTCCACCTCCTCCTCCGCCACCTCCTCCTCCGCCACCTCCACCTCCTCCTCCGCCACCTCCTCCTCCTCCGCCACTACCGTTGCCTCCACCACCACCATTGCCTCCGCCTCCTCCGTTGCCACCGTCTCCTCCTCCTCCTTCGCCACTTCCTCCTCCACCATTACTTCCATTACATCCAGCTTGTTCAGGAAAAACGCATACCTGAAGTCATGTTTAAGAATCTATTATAATGATTATTTTCACATATACAGGGTGACTGGTGAATACTATCAATATTTAAGGAGAATACTCGGTACATGATTTTCATTCCAATTATGTAAAAAAAATAGGTACTTAATTTTTGACCAAATTTTCGTATAAATAAATAAAGTGTGAACACGTTCCAAGTGTTCCAAGTGTGGACGGTGGCGGCGTGCTGATACAACACCACGCCGCCGCACGCGTGTGTGTGTGTGCGTGTGTGTATACCTAATCTGTAGGGTGTTCACACGATGCGTAATTAATTACATAACTTTTGGTTAACTTTACTTAGAAGTTTATTAATATTTATGTTATATTAATTTTTATTTTGTCATATATGATCGTCAAATATCACGTCCTCAAGTATCGATAGTAATTCACCAGTCACCCTGTATAAGGACTTTACTCTAATTTACTCTAATAAAAATAGATATCATTTAAAAAAAAAATATGAATAACTTGTAAAACTAAGTCTAGAATTAATAATGAAATAAGTTCATTAACGAATTTGTTAAATTTATAACAAACAAATGATGATTTTAACCTGTAGTTGGGCACTGAAATGCAGACTGCTGGGACATGATTGCAATACTTTCCCTCCAAAGACACATTGGTAGAATTTGTTGCAATCATTTTCGTGAGGTAAATGCCAGTTTATACTAAAGTCTGATGGACAACCGTTCGAGAGTTGCTCGAAGATTGGACTCTGAGCATCGATGGCATATCCAACTTCTGGTTCATTGTTGTACTTGTTGTCATAAAGACAATCCACGTTTTCTTGCCAGTCACATTGCTAAAAATATATATGTATTAGAATACAAAAAATCTTTAAATAATGTTGATTATGATACCAATTACATGACATTACCAAAATCTTCAACACATGCAGTTAAAATATTTATCTCATATCACATAAAAAAAACTGAACAATCGAGCCTATTTGTACCTTGATTTAACTTTTCAGGAAAAAATTCATTCTATAGCGCGAATAAAATTAACTAGCTCCCTGTTCCTGGCTTTAACTCACTAATTTTAAAACAATACCATTGATTTTTCTTAGATGTCACATTCTTATAAAATATAAATTTGCTACAGTTTCATTCATTTTTTAATACTTTCGATACATTTTTTACGAGTCAAAATTTTTACACTAGCTCGGGTACATCACAGAAAAGTACATTTACTCGTTTAAAGATAGGAACATTACACATAACGTAAGGTTAAGACTGACAATAAAATATTGTACAAAATGTGCTGAAATATTTGAGCATTTCTATCTTTTTAACTTATATTACTTTATATAATAATTTTTCAGTGTTTACTTAATTTGATGTCTGACTGAGCATTTAACTATTATTTGTATGATATAATTTGTGTGGCCTAATGTTTGTAGAGATTTAAACAAAAAAAACACCATTACTACAATCACCTAAAAACCAATTTATTTTCGTTTTTTTCACTTATCTAATCATTATATTTTCTACATTTATTTTAAAAATTCTCTTCCTTCTTTGGCATAGGATTGTACAAATAAATATCAGTTCTGAATTTTCTATTAATAAGTCAAATATATAGTAAGACGAAAGACTTTCCCGAGTATTCATTTAAATAAAAATAATATTTTCGGATTACTAAGTGTTTTTTTAAGTATATTTAATATTATAATCACGATTGCTGCAAAGTAAAGAAATATCGAGAGCATGTAGTTTAAAATAATAATATAAAAACTTCAGTGCATCCGAAAATATTAGTTTTATCTTCATATATATGTATATAGATTTATTATTAAAAATTGTTGATCGGATTCAATTCTTTTCGATTTCAATTCAAAATTTATATTACTTTTTGTTTTCTTTATGAATTATTAATAAACATTTTAAGACAAATCAAGTTACAGGCTGTCATTAAACATTCTCCGACGTTGCGTATTCGCGTGGCATACTCGCCGCGTTTGTTTAAATATTTGTACGTAGTCCAAATAGCTCAAACACGACATCCACACATGGCATGCCAACTACACGTCTCCACGGGATTTCGCTTATTTGTGTATGTGTCTTATTTGTGCAAATATGTCAAATGAAGACGAATAAATCCTCCACACATGGTCTTACTTGGCCGAACAACAAATAAACACTAAGTTAAGTGCCACCTTTATATTATGAAGAGAGGTAGCAGTATTTATCAACCTTTTACTTGCTATACAAAAATTCTAACTATATAAATCCATACATAAAATTCCCTTTAAATCTTATTTATCCTCCCATTTATAAGTAATCGCGTAATTTAGTAAAAGGCATAAATATAAAAAGTAGAATATAATTGTTATATCTCTGAATGTTATCTCGTAAAAAACAATATTTGAGTTATATTTTTATCATAAACAAATATTAATACGTTTATGTTCTGGGTGTAAAATAAGTCAGGGAGTTTTTTGTTATCAATGTATTTAATATGCGCGTTAAAACTAGCCAAGTATTGATTGGGAAGATAAACAAGATTATTTTATATGTTTTTTGGCTTTGATAAAATTGTTGAACTTGAAATCTAGATATTGATTTTTTGTATCACTTTGAATAACTATGAATTAAATGATGCATATCATTTCTTATTTCATTAGTGGAGTTTTGAGTAAAGTCTCCTACTTGGATTACAGAGACCGTCTTTATAGCAAAATTACTATAGCTGTTAATACGGCTAAATTTTAAAGTACATTTTTACTTTATTACTTTTATGTATTTTTAATTGTATTTATTATTTATATGAAGTTATATTTTGAACCCTTTCTAAGATAATTCATTCGTTTCTTTGTCTAAACCTGTATTTATTACAATAGAAAATACCCTTATATACTTAAGTATAGTTTAAAATTTTAAAAACTTCTCTATTTATCGTAATTATCATAAAAATTCTCTATTTATCGTAATTAAATGTAATTTATTAAAAGTAGAATGACTATCATATATCAAATAAAACGAAGAATTATTAGAATTACGAAAAAACATATAAAAAAAATATGAGTTAAATGCACATCATTCAGTATATCTTTGGTACAGTTGTATTTGCTTATAATTTCATAAATATTTACTCAAAAAACTCACCTGTTTCTCGAAGTTGAACAGCTTAAAGTCCGGACATGTCGATTCCTTTAGTTCGCCATGATCACAGTAGTAATACTTATTGCATTCTAATTTATGTGGCATAAGTAATTGTCCACTGAAATCCTTTGGACATCCGTTTTGTAGCACATCGTCTATCAAACTTGTGGGTAGAATCGGCATATCTGCATCCAGGGTTTGGAGGTCATTGCCCTGGGGACGACCGTAGGCACAGCCTACGATGCCCAGAAGAAGTAACCTTACTGGAAAGGTTAAAAAAATTACGTCACTTTATATTAATTATTCAATACTTTTCAAATTAACCAAAAAACGGACCATGAAATAAATCAAATGTTACTTATGATTTTTCATCCAACATTCTTTGAAACATAATTGATTAATTGTAATTAAGTATATTAAATAGACAGTAATAAAATAATTGATTGTTTGTTAATCTATATATATAAAAGAAAGTCGCCTTAGTTACTCCACATATAACTCAAGAACGACTAAACCGATTTAGCTGAAAATTGGCATCGAGGTAGTTTAGAGCCAAGAGAATTACATAGGATACTTTTTATCCCGTTCAACAGCATTCCCGTGTGACTTGACATGAAAAATCAGTGACCATAAAACGTGGTATAACAAAAAATAATCAAACCTGGAATAACAAAACGCAATCGACAGCTATGTGATTGACGTATACAGATATGTAATGACGTATACAGATATGTAATGACGTAATGATGACAATTAGATATTTGTAAGAAATCTATATATATAAAAATGAATTGCTGTTCTTTAGTCTAATTAAAACTCGAGAACGGCTGAACGGATTTATGTTATCTTAGTCTTGAAATGTTCGTGGAGGTTCAGGGAAGGTTTAAAAGGTGAGAAAAAATTATTCATTTCCGGGAAAACCCTAGAAACAGCCCTTTTCTATTTCCCATACAAACGTTTTTTTTACATTAGATTTGACAACTAACTAATATGTCAATCATTCTGTCGCACTTCAAAACACGGAGATTTATGGCTTAAAGGTAAACTCCAAAAATATACTACAAAAAAACGTCACAGATATTTCTTGATTATAGGGCGATACGAAGTTTGGGGGTCTTCTAGTATCATAATATTTATGTATCAATATGTAATTATTTATTGATTAACAACTATATTGTCTAGTAACATTTTAATGGTGTTTTACGCATTATATTGTGATTCTTGATATTACAATTGCGTAAAGTAAATTTCTTCTATATTTATATTCATTTTATTTCGCAGATATTTCTTATAATTATCATATATAGTTTTCAAAACGAGAGTGTTTTTTTCTTACAAATATGAACCCTTTTTTCGTGATTAAGTTCCTTATAATAACTTTGACAAAATCACTCAATGACACGTTAACTTCCTTAAATAACACAATCCTTATAAAAATTTATGAAGCTTTGTAAATTTCTCTAAAAGTTGTTTAGTTTAATTGAAAAGTCGTCAGCCTATCAGAGCCCACTGTTGAGCAAAGGCCTCTTTCTCACATGGAGAAGGTTTAAGCATTAATCACCACGCTCGCTCAAGACGCGTTGGTGATTTCAGACTTATTTATGTGAAATTATAAGTACAGGTTTCCTCACGACGTTTTCCTTCATCTGTCAGTGGTGTCTAAATACTCTTAGAAAGTACATATGACTCGGAAAAATCACATTGGTACTTGCCAGGATCGAACCCGCGCCCTCGTGCACGAAAGGTGTGCCCTTTAACTACTAGGCCACCACTGACTTTGATTGAAAAGGAGACATATATAGCTTTAAACACAAATGTATGGAAATATTTGATAAATACATTATTTTTTTACGTATAAAATGATTTTATCTATAACAAATTCCAATTATATCTGTCACAATAATATCATATTAATACTTTTATTAAAAAAATCTTATCAAAAACATAGGTTTATTTTGTAATACTAACTGATTATCATATAATGGAAGCTTGAAACGAGTTTTTTTATTTTCTTATATATAATTTAGTTTTAAAAGACACAGAAGAATGATTTTTTTTTGCTACTCGATGTTTCTATGGAGTGTTGTCTTTGGTGAAAAGTTGAAAAGAAATGTATATTTGTTAGTAAAATTAAAGCTCTTATTTAGCTTTGAAATTTGTCAGTTCCAAAACATTTTTTTCTTTTATTATTTTTGATTTTTAATGAAACATACTTTATTTAACCTAAGTTTTTACGTGTTTCTATAACAAGTTATTCCTACTTCTTATTATAATTAATGGTTTAATTCAAACACATTTTAGTATAACTATTATACTTTTCCTATAAAATTTCTATTGTTTTCGTTGTACATTTATAATTTTAATTTAACCTCATAAATTTTGATTCAATGTCAGTTACAATTCCGACGTCTGAAATCTTTGGTCAAATATAAATAGCAACTTTGTTTTTATTTAAGATTTTTGAAATATTTTACATTTACATAATTGTAATGATTGTGTAGTTTTCATTTAAATATTTAATTAATGGAGATATCCTTTTTTACAATATGACAATATATTAATAGAATTAAGGTAATATTTTATTAATAACTATTAAAATATATCACGTTTAGGATTGTCTGTAAAATAAGTTTTTGTTATTGTAATAAAACTAATATTTTCGAATTACTTCGCGTATTTTGTTATGTTTAAAAACTACATACTCCCTAAGTTTCGGTTTTTTGCAGCAACCGTGATCACGGACAGATATGAACTACTTAGTTGATCTTATTTAAACTAATTATTATAATATAATAATATTTATGTATTACATACCAATCATTGCGTCTTAGAGACGCCTTAAATCCTTAAACAATTGCCACTGAAAAAATAAACAATATCTCTTCCTTACAAAATGACTGTGGTAGCTCAAAAGAAAATCTTTTTTATATAATTTCCGAAACTACGATAAGAGATAGCTACCACGCTTATCGACGATAATATTAATTATCCATTGAATGCTATCAATATTAAAAGAGACTTCCTATCCTTGAAATGTTGAATTATCTATACTAATAAGTTTGGTATTAATTAAAACTAATGTTAATAAAATATAATTATTTTAAGAAGATTATTTTAAACTATGGTTCCTTTGTATCCAGTGAATTGTAGCTTTAAATTGATCTTCGATTTGACAATATATAACTGCGGAGAGCAGAAACCAAAATTATGGTTAATAATAACCCAAACATCAGAAAAGATTGTTCAGGAGAATGAAAAAGTAATACTGACTGCGCATACTTCTGATATTGTTGAAGGGTCTTTAATACATATGTTAACGAAGAATTTTAATCTCTTTATGTTGAAGAACTTGGAAATGAGAGCTTCTGCCACTTAACTTTATTCTGACTTCATTTGTTTCTATTGTAGAACACGTGTCAAGGTTGAGAGAGTTAATTAAGTAAAATTATTTGATGATATTTTTAAGTAGTACGCTATTGACACCGTACATTTTGACAGAAGTTTCGTGTCAAATTTTTCTATCTAAATTCCAAGTTAGTAATGTTATTGTTGAGCCTTCCTCAAAGGCACCGAACTGACCTTTTTTTTAATCTAGGTTCAGGGCAGTCAAAAAAGGATACCTTATAAATATGCATTTACTTATTAGGTCAGAAGAGAAAAGTATAAGCTCATTCAAGTGCCATAATTGCTAGTGGCATCAAATCTGATACCTTAATACATAAAATGGACTTTGGCTGTTACAAAATAAAATAACCTGATATGATTATGTAAAAGTAGAGCCTAGCTGTGAACATGTTACTACAGCTCGAACATGTGATGGCTCGACCGGGGAAGTACCAGCCGCTTACAGAAAATCGGCGTGATATGGTCTTAAATGGCTGCGTTTCGTCCGAAGAGTGAGAGAGACGTTTTCCTTTGATGGCCTTTCCCTTATCCCACCCTTTTCCTTTTCCTTTCCCCTCCCTTTCCTCTCCCTCTCCTACAATCAGGGGCTACAACGTATCCACAAAACTTTGTTACGGATATCAATGGGCGACGGTACTACCGCCATCAGGTCAGCCATTTGCTCGTTTGACCTCTTTGCCATAAAAAAAAGACTTACAAGCAATTTATATTTCTTTTAAATATAATGCACATGAACTCAATATTAATTGAAGCCTACATATATTTGAAACCTTACCCATACTTATATTAATTGAATTTATTCTGCAAATTCTTTTCCCACTCTGGATAAATACGCAACTGGACTACGCGAACAGTCGCTATATAGCCGATTAGATACGGTTTCGGCGGAATTTTTAATACTTTTATGGCATATTTATTAAGCATTGTTATGATATAAAATAATGTCAATGATGAGTCGACTTTATTGTGCAATAAAATAAAGTTATTTTTATACACATTATACTTTATGGTTAAGTATTTCTCCCATAAAATTAGGTTCAAATTGTCTAACTCTCATCTATAAGCATGATTAATATGAACTCAGTTGCCTCAGTGCTTTTTAATTGATAAACAATGTATTGTATTGCAAAAAGTTGTACATCAGTTTTATATTTTATCCTTATTAGAGTGGATAATGAAAAAAGTTAAAAATTTGTACAAAAACAGAAAATTAACATGTTTTAATGTCTGTCATAATCATTACTAATAAACAAATTGATAGTGTGATATAAATAAATTTATATTTTTACTATCAATTATAAAGTACGAATATCGCTACGTTTAATTTTACTTTAAACAAAGAGTAATAATATTTTTATCAACTTAAAAATGTTCAGATGTTGCCAGAATAATAAAAGAAAGAAAAAATAATAAAATACCTGCATATTAAGCTGTTATAAAATAAAGAGCTTCTATGCTTTACCTCTTTAGTATAAGGAAACATTAATAGCTGTATTGTAGCTGTAGCTAATATTGTGTTATGACTGTTATTACATTAAAACTCTGAGACGAAACCCCTCATTGTTCAATGTATTCACGGTGCGTGTGTCGGGTCCATCGTTGTAGTGAGAGGAGCTTCAACAGTGACAGGGACTTGCGACCCAGGTGTAGGTTTAAGGGACTCTATCTAATGCGCGTTAAACGCTAAATACATCAGATATTACTTCCTAAAAATTACGCTTAATGTATTATACATTTAATTAAATATATAAAGAAATACCAAATGACCACTCAAACCTAAAATAACTAATACTGTCCAAAGAAAATCTTTATTAAAAAATGAATTATTATTATCACAGTGTATCAATTTAACGACACC